TTTTCTTTTTAATTCAAGTCAAATCCTAGAGAGTCTCAAACTTAAAACAGATTACTTTGGGGGTTGCAAAATAAAGTTTAAACCAAGAAAGATTAACCAAAACAAAGCCAGCTCAATTTCTGTCCATCTTCAGTCTTATCTTACAGAAATAAGAGATTTAGGGTTTTACCCCAAATATAATGGCTTATAAAAGGAACAAAGCATAAAAGTTCTAGCTGCAGCAAGCGGAACTTCACCCAGAAAGCTTTTTCATCAAGACAGAAAATTCCTGCTTGAAAAAGGATTCATTTACCAAAAAAAAAAAGCAATTCCAGGAATTCATTAAAATGCAAAAAATGATTCAAATTTAACACAAAATTGACTTTGCAACATTTAATATATGCATCTACATTCAGGCTCCTCTGTAGAAGACCACAGCTATCATTAAACCAGACCTTGTAACACCCTGCAAGAGTAAACCCTTCTCATTTTGAAATTAAACCATCGCATGGTGCAGTTCTCCACCACTCTGAAACAATTTCAAGTAATATTTCTGAAACCCCAGCCTCAGAGGTACAGCTTTGCAGACAGAGCACATAAAACTGTGACAGAACTCTTACTGCGAATAAATAATGGTGGCTATATCTAGAAAACGATACCAGCCTACACACCGCTTGATAAATATCCCCTATTAAGAAGCTCCAGCCTTTTCCAAGCACCCCAGCTAAATGGCAGTGATCACATTGTAATCCATTTTAATTCACATCAAAACATGGTTTGTCCCCTCTGAGGGGAGAGCCTTTCTGCAGCCAAGTAGTTGCAAGCAAAGTTACAGGTCTCTGAAAAAAAGAGACATATTTCAGCTCAACTACCTGAATTTGGATTATTACATTGTGTTTTCAAACCTATTACCAATTTCTACCTTGAAGTCAGCATGCCTTCGCTGAAGCACATCCATTTTCATCCAAACCTGCCCATAACAGCAAGCACTCACTTACCTGGCTACTGCCTGGGACACAACATCACAATCCAGGAGGAAAACCCCACCGAGGATGGCTGCTTTCCCCCTACCAATACATAGTCCCTACTTCCAAAAGCAACCTGGTGTGGTATCACCCCCTTTAATAGCCGAGGGAGGTTATAAATAGGGTAATAACCCCCTCAGGCTTTGCAGGTGGCCTTCGTTCCGGGGCAAACTCGGCTCAGCTGGCGAGCACGAGGAGCTCTCAGGGGCACAGGGTGTCCGCCCGGCCACAGAACGAGAGCAAGCAGCACTGGGAGACCCAGGGTACTTGGTGCAGGGCAGTGCTTTCCGCGTTCCTGGGGGTAAAAGCCACAGCCCTGCCAACAAAAGCATGAAAATAAGTGCTAATACTGTGGCATCTGTGTAACGTCTGAGACAGGGATGAAAAGGCATGAAAAATGCCAAAAGAGAGGTGTTTTCCTCTGGAAGTCAAAACAGCTTTGTGATCTCGTTAGAGCTGATTGCGGCATGATTTGTGCCAGGCAAGAGCGAGTTCAGCGCTGCCCCAACACCGCTCCAGGGACTTCATTACCCTGAGACGAAAGCAATGGCATAAAGCAAAGCTGTATCAGACAGGGGCTTTATCAAAGTATCAAGAATGATTTTCCTTCCCACCCACACACTCTGTTTGCTGAGGTTAGGGCGAGTGCTTGCAGCAAGGAGTCGTGACTGCTCAGGATCCATCCATCGGATATCCCTCGCCCTTCCCTGGTTTTGTACAGAGGGCTTAGTTGCCTAACTCAGGGCTCCAGCACGTTTTTCCTAGCAAGACACCCAAATCCTTCTTTAGATTTAGTCCTCAATATCCTAATTAAAAGAAGCAGCTGCTTTTATGGCCTTATGTCAGCTTGGAATAATTTTTCTTACCTATTGAAAACATCTGCTCTTCTGATTAGTACACTGAGCATTTATTTTCTCTTATACCAGCATCAAACTGCTTCATTGCAGCACAGACAGGAGACACTTCGTTTTACAAAATAAATCTGTGCTAAGTAGGAGCAGAAGCAAAATGGAACAAATATTTTGGCATTTTTCAGCGGTGGTACGCAATGAGACAAAGCACATCCTCAATCAATTCATTCACTTTTGTTCTGACCCGGCGTGAAAAATGAGGAAAGCCAGATAAAAATGAGGGCTTTTTTAATATTTCAAAATTTTCTTGCAGTGAGACTGTAAAAGCCATAGCGAAAAAATCCGACCTTTCGCAATGGAAAACGGCTTGGATTAAAGTTTTCTGGCCAAACAGCTTTGGGGATGCTGCCTGGGAGCAGGCAGGGAAGGGCAAAGCCCGGCGCTGCCGCAGGCAGAGTCACAACTGGCAGACCTGGACGGGCAGAACATCACACCCGGCCGGGCTGCAGCTCTGCCCGTCTCCTCCACCCCAGCCCTCCCGCAGATCTGCTGTGTTTAAAGCTCTGCAACCCTTGGAGTCGCGAGGTTTCACACGGCCTTTAACAGGCAGAAGAAGCCTACCGAGCCACCAGCCCCGCAAGTCCCTGCTTGGACAAGGAGGAGGTGTGTAGATGTGTTTGTGTTGAAAATTTCAACTGATTGGAGGCAATTTTTAAGCCCAGCTGTGGACTGATCTGCTTAAAGGTACTTGGTTAACAAATAACACCTGGTTTGGCCAAGATACTGATGTAGAAAAATAATAACATAGAGAAACAGTGTTTTCCAGTCATTATTGTTAATTTAATTTGATATTAGGTAAAGATAACTCCCTCTCTGCAAAGATCCATATTTATCCAAACCACCCCTCACTGTGCTTGACTTTGCAAGATACTTTACGTATTCTAATTAATTTAAAAAAAAACACCTGCTTGCAAAATAAACATCAACACTTTAAACTGAAAGTACCACTGGCACAGCTACAGACTCTAAGAAACTTGTGAACACGCAGGAGCTGTGTGTTATTTCAGTAACTCGTGTGCATGCTTCTTGCCTTGCCAGTCAGGGTATCCAGCAGAAATCCCTCCCACTGGTATTTGGTTAATGATGAAACATGTCCTTGGCACAGCAGCCAGCATGGACTGCCCCCGCATCCCTCCCGTATCCGTTGTGGGGGTTTAGGAACCAGTGGGATCACGCATCCCATGCCCTTCCCCAGGACCCGCGAGTCCAGCCCTGTGCACAGCCGGGATTATCTCCCACTGCTCCTATTAACCAGCTCTCAGGGCACCTTTGCAGGATTTAAGCAGCTCAAAGTCTCCTAATCCAGCCGCCCCCTCTGTGGGAATGCTTTATGCAGAGATTTTTGGAAGGCAGCCAGCGCTCCTCCGGTTTGTACGGTATTGCCAGCTCCTTTTTTCCCCAGAGGACCAGGCAATTAATTTATGGAGAGGCTTAGATTCTGGAGAGACCCTGAAATTTTGCATTGCTTTCTCAAGAGCATTAGTAGAGGTTATTTATACAAAAAATGTAAGAAACTTCAGCGGGAGAAGACAGAATTGCTAGTCAGATGTCCATATACCAAGGAATCAAAAAGGATTATTATAAGTTCTTGGCTTTCCTCAAGATTTAACAGCTGCCAGAGAACTCATAAACTGAAATCTGCATCTTTTATATACTTAGATTTGAACCACATAGGAACGAAGATGAAGTACCACATTAAGTACCAACTTTTTGACAATGCCAGTACATCTCACACTTGAATTGCTGATACTGAAAGAGGGCTGCGAAGCTGATGAGTTGAGGGACCCTTTACATTTACCCGATAGATAGGATCAGTCTTACAAAATTGCCTTGTTTTTATCTTAAAACTTGACAGCAGTTCTCTGGTGTTAATTTTCTTACTGTGTAAAAAAATGTCTCAGGAACTCTTCATCTTGCGGCCATGTAAAAAGAAGACATTAGGGACAGGGACCTGATTTATGATGGTATTTAAATATGGTATGGAAGGCATGACAGCCTTTTAAGTAACAAAACGAAGAGCAATGGGAATAATAGCCTAATTCCCCCTGTCCGCGTTGGGGTCAGACCCAGCATTCATCAAATCATGAGGAAAATGTCCCAGGCGTGCGACTGCCTGGGAAGACCAGTCAATCGCAGTGCCACGGAAGGCTAACTGTGGGACTTGAGTTTTATTTCTAAAAAACAGAGTGATTGGAACAATGTTGTGTGCCATAGTTTTTATGCCAAAGGTGGCGTGAAGTTACGACGATGAGAGAAGGTGTATTAACAAGGGAATATATCCAATCTGTCATCCAGAGGTTATTTAATGTCATACTTTTATTTCACAAGGTTCAGTTCCACTTTGGCAAACCGGCTTTTTAAACACGGGCCCACATATCCCCCGGACCCTCACAACGCCCGGGCTCATGCGAGTGCCAAAGCCTTCCCCTGGCTGCCTCCTCCTCCTACTCCCCATGGGCAAGGGCCGACCCCACAGCATCAGCTGAACCGTCAGCGGCTCAGAAAGCCGGGGAGCTTCTGCATACCCTAACAGGGTGTGTAATGCCCCTCTCCCCATTACTTCTGAAAGTTTCAGATATATTTTTGGCTACGGACAATAGTTAGGCTTTTTTTTACACTTATCTGATAATTCTAATATTCTTTCAGACAAACCTTTATACAATTCATGGCCAAGTCTAAAGTACTAGAGAATACTGATTCAATGATGAAACAACTTTAAACCTTTTCTCGTGATTTCAAGAAGCCTGCTGCTCACGTTCACATCTGATTAAGCTCTAAGACTTTCGTTACGTGATTTGAAGAGGCTAATTACAAACCTGAAGGCTGCTATGTGGAACGCCCTCCCCGTGCCCGTCCCGCTGGCGTCGGGACAATGGCTTCTCTCAGCCATCACCCACCCGTGCGGAGGACGTGCCGCTTCTCGGGGCTGCTAGGTAAATCTAACCCTTGTACTGCAAATATAAATATTGTTGTTAAAAGATCATGAAACCTAGCAACTAAACCAATATCCTGAAGCGATGCTCATGTCTCCTCTCGCAGGCAGAGGGAAAGGCATGCTTCTCAGTAACATCTTTGCCCTTTAAATCTATAGCAGGATCTCAAAAGCATCCGGATACAGAAGAAACCCCGTAAAGACGCTGTCGTCCTCGGCGCTGACGTAGACCCCGTTCCAGTC